CGAACTCATTGAGCGCAGCCAGCATTCTTAATGAAGAAGGGTACCAAAGTCTCAAGGCACACTATGAAGAACAGGGACATCAGTGACAGTGCGGGTCCTGGCCTATGGATCAGTAGGTTATACTGCACAAGAAAACAAAAAGGTGCTTACAAAGGAGCATGGGATAGCCGACCGCAGATATTGGGCTATCCAATGTGCCATTAGTACAGACTGCATCCGAGATAGCTACCAGATCTTTGGTTTCCTCGTAGCCGACAATGGTACATGGCGAGCGCGAGGAGGAGGCCGCTCTTGTAGTGCGCAGGCATTACAGTTGTACTCTAGTCGGACCTGTAGAGGTCTATCTAGCTGAAATAGTGCAAAAGCTACCTTATTAGAAATAACTCAAGTCTCTACAGACGGGAGATCAGGCCATCAGTCTAAGGGGGCTTGCCGGCAACTCAGGGATTGGAGGTGGCTGTGAGGCTGGCAGCGACGCCTGTGGGTCAGCGAAGATGGGCCTAAGATAAAAAGGACAACAATATTCTTGGATATTTTGAGGTTCTTTCAAGGGCTGTACGCTGGCAGTGCAGCATCTACATATATATATATATATATATATGCCGAGCGTGCACCTGATAGGTGTGCATAGGCTCAGCAAGCAGTAACAGCACATTGCGCTGTTCACTGCATTGTGGAACTGGCACTGACGCCTCGGCGCTGACCCACTAAAGGTCAGCGGAAGCCAGCTTATTATTTATCCTCCTTATTGGGAATATGGGACTCCGACAAGAAGGAAAACACTGTTGTTCAATATTTTGAGGACATTTCAGTGGCTAAGCGCTAACTGTACCATAGAAGTTCGAGTGTGCACTCAAATAAGTATGCATAGAGCCGGCAAGTAGTGGCAGTTGAAGCACTGTTTACTACATTTGGGGGCTTTTCCGGAAAGCCTATTTGGACTAAGGGGGGAAGTAATCAGTGAAACGTATCGCAGTTCGATCGCCTACCAGGTTTGGGCAGATCTCCTGGAGATGCGCCTACGAGACGGACGGGCCATAGATGCAACCGAACAGAAGGCACCCACAATCTCCGCACACCGATTACCTAGTGGGCAACCGGTTAGCCAACTCTCAGACAAGCCAAAGGCCAATGCGCGGGACCAGCAGAAGGTGCAAAAGGAACAAATGCCCACAGCCGCACCTCCTCCTCGCGGGTACCGCCGGCCCGTACCGTGAACAGCTCACGGCTAGGATTGACGTTCTTCGGGGAATTATGGAGCACTCTAGAGCGGAGGAGGCTTTCCCGATGTTCCGACTGACGCGAGACGAAGACGGGAGCACTATCTATGCCTTCTTACTACGCATCGACAGGAGCTCCACCCACATGGGAATGGAACAGGCTCAGTGGGGTAACGAGTTCATGGGGGACCTAGCGGGTCCACTTTTTCTGTACTGGACGTATTTTCAGAAAATATATAGGCTTAAGACGTTGGAAATTGGTGAAACAACATGAACGGTTCTGTAGTGAGATTACTAGAAGCGAGGTGATGGCGGAATTGTCTAAATCTGGGTGGACAGGGTTGGCCGTTCTTGAGCTGCCCTGAACTATTGCGAACCGCCCCCAAAATTCAGCTGCACTACTACAGCGGCAAATCATTCCACCTACTCAGTATGGTTACCTGTCCGCTTAACGTTAGCCAAGTTTACCAGCAAGTGGTGCTTCGTCATTTTCTTGCAGAATTTTCGGTGCATCCGTTGCGTCACCGTTCCCAGTCTCTCAGGTCCATCTTCGTTAACCAGAACTCCATTGCACCAAGGAAGGTTGCCATGTTGTCTCCCCGTTCACGAGGCAAATGTAGCAGCATGAATGGGGTTTACCCCTATCGTGTACTGGACATTCTCAGGGAAGTAGAGTTAAGTGCGCCAATCACACGGCCGTTACGGAGGTACATAGTTCTGCCCGCTCGAATACACAATGCCTGGGGTCCCAAGGTTCTTGGAAGTTAATTATAGCTACTTTACCTGCTGGAAGAAAGAAAACATGCCCCGGAACGGCCCCCAAGTGTAGCTAACAGTGTTCTCATTTGCCAGTACTTGTCGAACCAATTCATTGAGGTGCGCGCGCGATCTAAACACGCCTCACTCAGCGCATGACCCCTTGAAATAATCTCAGAATATCAAAGCATTGTCTGCTACTTTTCACCTGAGTCCATACCTACCAATAAAGACAGCACTAACAGATCTGAGTACCCGCTGATCCCCTAGCAGATCAGCGCCTCGGCTGCAGTGCCCGCCTCACAACCAGCCTTAGACCCTGGGTTGCTTCCGAGCACTCTTAGCCTAGTGGCCTTCTCCCAGTCCGAACCGATTTGGCGTATTTCTACAAAGGTATTTTTTTGCACCTTTTTATCCGGATGGACCTCTAGAGATCCAATTAGATTTCCATCGTAGTGCCTGCGCATACCATACTGCACAGCCTAGAGCTTATGGTTTAGACAGGCTATGAAACACAAACGGGGACTCATCTCTAGCGTTTCCAGGGCTAATTAATCGAAGTTAGTTAGACTACAACTGATAAAATAATTCACTCACAGCCAATTACATCCAAGCCACCAGCCGCAAATAACAAAAAAATAAGTGCATTCAATGATAAACACTATAACAATGTAACTCCGCTGGAATGCCCCAGAAATCAACAAACAACTACCGCCTTACACTTCGTGGGCTGGCGATGAGGTAGGAAAAGTGTTTAGGAACTAGGATTTAGTATTTGGGGTGTAGGGTTGACCCATCCTTGATTCAACTGGGCCACTTGCGCCGAGGGGCTGGTGACGATTAATTTTAAAGCCTCAAACGCCACTCTAGGCAGCTACGAAAACCTCGCTAGGTGAGGAGCTACCTAGCTAGCTAGCGTGCTTAAGAGGAAGCAGAACTCAGCAAAGTAGGACGTCCTCTCTGAAGTTGTTTTTACACTTTCTTGGGTGCAGGTTGTTGGATAGTGATTGCCATATTGCGATTTCTGATAATGACAGTTGTCTACAGCATTCGGAGTGCATGCACCAACAGGATTATCTTGGTGGGGCATATTAGGCTTGCATGTAGTGTTGTTGGCCTAAATGCAGTAGTTTGGAGATAGAACCTCTCTCCTGACCGAATCTGTCTCCTCCGTCAGAATCATTCTGTCTCCTTGGACAGAATCAGTCTGTTTTCCTATACAGAATCACTTTGCCCTTCTATGCAGCATCTATTTGCATGTCTCCTCAGATAGAATCAGTCTGTCTCGCTAAATAGTATCTGTCTGTGTGTCCCCCGAAGGAATCTGTCATCTGCCCTCATCATTTCTTTTCTCTCGACACCTGGAGGCAGCAGCGACTGTTGTAGCTGGTGATTGTGCACTTGGTTGTTCTTCGTGAAAGCTTCAACTCTGCTGCATTGCGTTATTTGAATGTAATACTACAAACCCTCCACTCAGGAGAACAAGCGGAATATTCGAAGAATAAGAGCATACTACTTTAATTCATATACTTACCTTTTGTTTAAGTATAACTACTTTTGTTTTAGTAGATTACGAGCAAATTTTGTCTTGCGGCGATCTCCCACTAAGAGGAGACAGCAGGGTCCTGGGCGCCTTTCATGCGTAAACACCCTAGAAGTCTATTCTATTACTTCTTTATGCCTGCCTCTATTCTTTTTTCTCTTTGTTTCCGTAAGACTTGCTTAAATTCTTTCCGAAGGTTCCTGGGTTCGATTACCCACCTTCCGAAGGGCCCCTGGGGGCCCCCAGGGGCCCTTCGCGACCCCCGGGGGGGGCCCTTAAGGAGACGGGCAGGCCTCCGCCTTCCATTGGCTTTGAAGGTCTTCACTTGAGTGCACCTTCGTTGCACAATTGCTGATCTATATTGATATTGTTTGTCTTCTTATCAATTGAACTCCCTCAGCCGTCGCGGCAGAGAGGGAAGACCCACCAGAGGGGCCCCCAGTCTCGAAAGGTGTATCGTATAGGGAGCCCCAAGGGGCCCCGGGGTCCAGTGTCTTCTTGTTGCCCGAGTGCTGGGGGCCCCCAGAAATGGGAGCCCCCCAACGGAGCAGCGGGGACATAGGAAAAGCTGCGAAGAACAAGAGGCCCCGGACATCTGCAGCAGCAGCAGCATCTCCAGCAGCAGCGCCAGGAGCAGCAGCAGCAGCAGCAACAACCACAACGGCAGCAGCAGCCCTAACATCAACAGCAGCAACACCGGCAACAGCGGCTTCAACGACAGCATTCGCAGCAGAATCCATATTAGAGCCATCACCAGGACATTCAGCAGTCAAAGCAACGAAACGAACAGCAGCAGCAGCAGCAGCAGCAGCAGCGGTTGGGGATTCCTGCTGCAGCCCTAGTGTCTCTACACCCTCAACAGCTGCATCGATTACTCCTCGGCCCCTCCTTCACAATGGCCGCCTCATAGACAGCGACACAGAGGCCCCAGGGGCCCCAGGGCCCGCAGGGCTCCCAAGCCCCTCGGCGGGTTCCGCTGCTGCTGCTGAAGTCGTGGCTGACAGCTTCAACAGCAGCAGCAGCATCAGCAGCAGCGGGAGCAGCAGCAGCGAGGATACAGGGGAGACGTCTGTTGCCTTGAGGAGCTGGAGAATAGACAGCTGGCAGGTGGGCGGGCGGTGGGGTTGTTATCACTACCTCTTCCTCTCCTTCGTTCCCCGCTGCAGCTACTGCAAGCCATCAGGGGCCCTCCCTACACAGACACTCTCTCAGCGGGCCCCTGCTATCTCTTATATACAGACGTTTAGAGCATCCCTGCTGCAGGACCTCTAGGCGCCGTTTAGGTGCCCTATGGGTGGGGGGCTGGGTAGGTTGTCTGCTATCTTTGGAGACAAGAGACTACTGTTAATCTCCTTATTGTGCATGTGTTGTGCTTGTCTCTGTGCATGAAGGCTTGATTGTCTTATTTATGTATTTTAATAATAATAATAATAATAATAATAATAATAATAATAATAATAATAATAATAATAATAATAATAATGTTGCTGCATGCCTCTGTCTCCTCTCAACTGCTGCAGGGTCTGCCTGCGGCCCAAGATCCCTTCTGCTCTGTCTCCTCCCATCGAGTCGCTGAGGTGTACAGACAGCTGGAGGTGCTGCCTCCCCTCGTGTCAGCAGCAGAAGTACAGAGTCTCCTTGGTGCTCTATCCCAGGTGCAGCAGGGGCAGGCCTTTCTGCTGCAGGGGGGCCCCTGCGCCGAGCAGTTTTGCTGCTGCAGAGAGGAGACACTTCGCGATACAGCGGGGCTTCTGCTGCAGCTGGGGGCACTCATTGAGGCCCTTATTGAAATGCCAGTACTCATCGTGGGGAGAATAGCAGGCCAGTATGCCAAACCGCGGTAAGGGTTTAGGGTTTAGCATCTCTGGTTTAGGGTTTGGGGTTTAGGGTTTGGGGGTTTGGGGAGGAGTGCCTCGCGAAAGGCACCCAACGGGTGCTCCAGGGAGTTGAGCAGCAGCTCCTGCACGCTGTTGCTGCTGTTGCTGCTGTTGCTTCTGCTGGCATTGCTACTATGTTCTAGCTCTTGCTTAGGGTGCACCTGCTGGTGAAGCTACTTCTGCTGCTGCTGCTGCCGTTGCGGCTGTTGCTGTTCTTGCTGCAGTTGTGCTGCTGCTGCTGCTACTGCTGCTGCTGCTGCTGCTGCGTGTTTTGCTGTCCCTGCTGCTGGCGCTGCTTCTACTATTGCCGCTGTGCTGCTGCTGCTGCTGCTGCTGCAGGACAAACAGCATGGAGCAGCATGGAGACAGAGAAGTGCCAGCGTACAAAGGAGACGCCGTGAATGGGGAGGAGCCTTGCGACAGAGTGAGTTGTCTCTTTCTTCTGTCTTCTTTTGTTTCTGTCTCCTCCTTTTTCTGTCTCCTCCGTTTCCCGGCTCCATCTTTTTCTGTCTCCTTTGGTGGCTGATTTCCGTTAGAGTACGCTTATCTATAACTGTAAAGATCTCTATCTGCATGCGGGTCTCCTTTTTTCTTCTTCTGTCTCTTGGTGTGTTTGTCTCCTTGTAGAGCTCTCCCTTGTCTTTGTGCATGCATTTGTCTCCCCGGGTCGTTTTTTGTCTTTTTGGGGCATCTGCGTATTTCTGCTGTCTCCTTCTGACATGTACTGTCTCGTCGGGTGTCTCCTCTTGTGTGTATTATCCTGCGTCTCTTCTTGTCTTTATTCTCCTCTGTCTCCTTCTGTCTGTCTCTTAAATACCGGCTATATATCTAAAAGGGCATTATAGGCCTCTGTGATGCAGACGGGCGATTATCTGTCTCCTTTTTTCTCTGTCTCCTTCTCCGTGTGGCTGCCTCCCCTTGTTTATGATGCGCATCTATGTAAGCCTCATCTCATGGGATGTGCTGGTTTGGTTGCGTTTCTATCTTTTTTTGTTTCAGCGTTGCTGCCACCTTTTGTGTCTACTTCGCTGTCTCCTTGTGCTGCCCTTGTGATGTCTAGTTTTATGTCTTCTTTGTTATTTCCTCCTGTCTGTACTTCGCTGCCTCCTTTTTGCATCTCTTCGCTGATGTCTCCTTTTGTCTCTTGGCTGCTGTCTCCTCCTGCTAACTAGCTGTCTCTTTTTTTGTCTCTCCTTCGCTGCAGACACCCAACCCAGAACGAATGCTCGCCGGTGGGCTGTTAGCTTCCTCTACGGGTTTTGAGGGCTGCAGCAAGGAGACGGAAGGGGATAGTTGCATATAGAAGGAAGCAAACGGGAGACAAAAGGAGACACGCAGAAACACATATAGTCAAATGCGAGATAAGGGGAGACGCTTAGAGAAAGAGCAAATAGGATACGGGAGGAGACGCTCCGCAATTAGGGGGGTAGAGAGAGACACTCGGAGGCAGACATTAGCAAATAGGAGACAGAAGGAGACCCATAGGGGCAGAAAGTAGAAAGCGGAAGACGCGGGGAGGCACGCAGGGACAGATGCACTCCGATAGGAGACAACTAGGAAACAGAAAGGCGCAAGTAGGAGACAGAAGGAGAAGCTAAGAGACATAGAGAGGCAAACAAGGAGACTGTAAGAGCCTTAATGAAAGGAAAGAAAGAGATAGGAAGAGCTACAATAAAGCAAGCAAGGGGAGTAGGGGACAGGCAAAGAAAAGAGTATGCAGACAGAGACAGAAGCAGATGTACTTAGTCTCACAATAGAACGAATGGAAGCGCCCACCACCACTCTTATCCCTCGAATATTGTTAAGTGTCTCCTTTGTAAAGACAAACGCCAACAGATAGAGAAGCAGCACGACGCGCCGAAGGAGCAGGCCCAGCAGCGCACCAATTAAAGAGACAGCGGTAGAGAGAGACAGACACGAGGGAGGCAGAGCAGAAAACAGACAAAAGACAAGACACTGTTTCCTCTCCGGGTGTCTCTGCAGCTTACTTCCACTCCGCTGCGACCCTAAACTTCTTGAGGCAGCTGCTAGCGGGTGGGTTGAGGCGTATGGGCAGCCGCAGCAATGCAGGCAGGAGACAGGGGACAGTACAGAGACAAAAATGCGGCAGAAACAGACAGACAGACAAAGTGCTGCTGCTGTTGTTGTTGCTGCTGCTGCTGCTGCTTCTGCCCGTGTGGTGTCTCTGCAGAAGAGGGGACTCCGCCGTCTCCGCTGTGGGTCCCTAGGCCGTCGCTGAGCCTGCAAAGAAGGTGCTGTCTCCTTTCTACCTTTTGTCTGCTGTCTTCGTTTCTGTGTGTGTCTATTTGCTCCCCCTACCTTCTGCCTCTGTCTCCCTCTCTCTATCCCCCTCTCCCTCTCTCTCCCTCCCTCCCTCCCCCTCCTCTCTGTTTGCTGTCTCCTCCGTCTGTCTCTGTCAGTTCTTCGTTCCTTTTGCTGCTTCTCTGCTTCTTTCTACGTTATCGTCTTCGTGGGGTTTGCCTCTCTGTCTCCTCCTCTCTACTAATCTGCCCGTCAGGGTCGTTGCTATGGCTGTCTCTGTCTCTCGCCTCACCTTCCTTTAGGGTTTACGGTTGGGATTTAGGGTTTAGGGTTTAGAGTTTAGCTGCTCTCGCCTTTGGCTACCACAACAGAGGCCGTGAGCCTCTTAGCTCTTCGTGTAGGGTGTAGGGTGTAGGGTTTAGGGTTTAGGGTTTAGGTTCTGTAAGTGCATGTTAGAGACAACCAACAACTGCAGCTAACGCTCCACGCCGGCCAGGCAGAGGAGGGATGCCCTTGGGCTCTCTGCGGTGTCTGTACACCTCAGGGAGCACTTAACTCGCGTATGCGGGGCCCCGAGAGAGCGCATGCAGCCCCAAGTGCGGCAGACAAACTGTGGAGCAGCGATGTGGAGCGGAGACAAAGTAAAGATGGAGGGGGAGCAGAGCGAAAGAGAGACAGAGAAGCAGCAGAGGGAGACGGGGGAGGAGACGGGAGACAGCGCGAAGAGGAGACAGTCCCTGCCTGCAGCAGCACTAGCACCAGTAAGAAAGGCTTTAGGGTGTCCTGTGGTGTTTTATTGTCTCTTTTGCCTTGTCTTTCCTTGCTTTGCATGCACTTCTGTCTCCGCTTTACTCGCTTGTGCCTCCGCTGTTGCAGCCGCTAATATACACCTCCCACGAGGCCCTCCTGCTGCTGTATGAACAGGCGCTGGCTCGCCCTGTCCCTTCTTTAGCCTCTGTAAGGTCTCGCCTCTCTCAGGGGCAGCAGGAGACTGCTGCTGTCTCTTGAATTGCTGCTTTCACACCCCTTCTGTCTCCTCCCTGCCTCCAGCGCAGCGGCTTTCTCTATTGTTTCTGTTGCTTCTGCTGCTGCTGCCGCTGGTACATTTCTTGCTGCTGCTGCTGCTACTGTCTTTGCTGCTGCTGCTGCTACTGCCTTTTGATGTTTTTGCTGCTGCGGCTGCTCCCGAGGCTGTCGTCGAACTGTGTCTCCTGCCTCTCCCTGTCTCCTCTCTGCGTTGTACAGACACTTGCAGCCAGCGGTCACTTCCTTTGGATTGGAGACAGAACAAGACAACTCAACTTCGCCCACGTCGAGTTCTGCCGGTGCGTCTCCTCAAAGAACCCACTCTCTGAGGGCCCCAGGGGGGCTACCTGGGGGGCCCCCTGAAGGGCCCCCAATGGAGGGCCCCCTTGGGGAACCCATGAAGGGTCTCCTGGGGGTCGACCCCTGAAGGGCCTTCTAGGGTGCCTCCGGGAGAACCCCCAACTTGAGGCTCCCCTTAGTGCTCCACAGGGGGGTTCCTTGGGGGCCTCCCGTGGGGCCCCCAGGTGTCTCTGTCTGAGCACGAGGGCTCCTTGGGAGACACTAGCAGAGGCAGAGGGCCCCTAGGGACTGTTTTGTGTATTTGTCTGGCTTACGCTACACAACAGTCGCACATTGGCGCCGTTAGGGGCCCCCTTCGGGACGGGGGCCCCTGTAGAAAGAAGAGGGTACCAGAGGCAGAACTGCACACACCGCAGACAACCCGGGAGACTAATATATATATATATATATATATATATATTATGAATGCGTGTATGCGCGTATATACGCCTATATATGCGTGAGATGTATACATGCATATTTAAGCCTATGTAGGTACATTTATCTGCATATTTATGTGTATATGCATGTGCACATATGTCCACATATATATATATATATATATATATATATTTGTCTTGTTGTTCGTTTGGAAATGCATTAGGGGAGTGATGAATCCAATAGGCGTGAAGGTGGGCCCGAGTGCAGAGGCGAGAGAAATTGTGTCTCTTTGCATGCGACTGAACCCCCACAAGGAGAGCGGAAAGCTGTCTCTAATTACGCGGTGGGTGTGCGGTGTACAGACAGCGTGAAGGGTCTTAGGCTTAGGGCCTGCTGGGGTGTGCTAATTGGCCGCCGAGGTGTATAGGCACCTCGTGGTGTCCCCTTCTACCTATTTGGGTGTCTCTTCTGCTATCGTAATGTTGTCTTCTTTTTATGGCGTCTGCTCTTTCAATGCATCGTTTTTGTCTCTTTCTCCCTTATTACGCCTTTACTGTGTTTTGGTTCTTCTTTCTGTCTGCTTTTTGTCTCTGTCTCTCCTCGTGTCTCCTGATGTTGTGTTGTTTAGAGGCAAAGGAGACACTTCACCTTGCGGGCTCTCTGCTCTTTGTATTGCATGACGATGCTGCAGAGAATGTATATATGTATATATTGTACATAATATCTGTTGTTGTAATTGTGTTTATGTACTTCTGCTAGCTGGGCCTTCTTTTGTCTCCTATTTCTGCATGCATGGAGCATAAGAATCTCCAGGAGACAGGCGGATGGAGGCGCCTGTCTCTTTTTTTTCGTTTATGCTGCCTGTTTGCTTTCATGAACACAGCTGCGTATTTGGGGTGTCTCTGCAGGTTGGGCGTACACCGCGTGCGAGACTGTTTGCCTCCTCTAGTGGAGGCGGTGCATGCGGTGGGTCTCTTCTCCTGATGTGTCTCTTTGCCTCCTTTTGCTCGGTTGAGGTATCTCTTTGTCTCGTTTAAGCCTTTTTTCTGCTTTGTCTCCTCGCCAGTCTGTAGCAAGAGACAAAAGAAGGACGCCGCTAGCATAAACAAAATAAGATAATTATAAAAACGTATTTAGTGGGGGCCCTCGGGCACCTGACTATCTCCTCACATGAGCTGCGGTGTCCGTACACTCTGCTGCGCTGAAGCTGCTTCAGCAAAAGCAGCAGAGTTTGCGTGCGTTAACATGTGCATGCATGCAGATAAATGCATGCACCTATGCATAATTGCATGCAGATACAACATACATACACCCCTTGCATGCATGTATGCATGCAACCCCGCATGCATGCATGCATGCATACACCCCGGCATGCCTGCATGCATAAACGCCTGCATGCATAAACGCCTGCATGCATGCTCCCCTGCATGCATACATGCGCGTATGTGTACACACGTCTTGGGCTGTGTTGATGCTGAGGAACCAAAGCGGAAGCCTCTTCCATTTTCTTTTTAAGTGTCTCTGCAGGCCGGCACCCCTGTAGTGTGGGTCTGCGACCCCATGCATGGAAATACCCAGCTCGGGCCCCAGCAACGCAAAAGGAGACACCTTAAAGATATTTTAAAAGAAATACAACTCGTCGCTGAAGTACTACACCAAAAAGGAGACAAACTCGGAGGCATACACCTGGAACTCACAGGTTGGCTAATATGTGCAGCACCTGCATATACAGCCCAAACTACTACTACCAGCTGTATATACACCCCAGTACACTGCCTGCTGCACATACACCCCAGACGACTGCCAGCTGTCCACACTCTCCAAACTATTGCCCGCTATCCATACACCCCAAGTACCTCCCAGTTGTGTGTTCACCCCAAACTCCTGTCAGTTGCATATACACCTCAACTACCTTCCAGTTGCGATTACAGTGCATGTACGACGTGCTGCGCTATGTTGGGGAGTTCAGGCGAAGACGTCTGGGAGTGCGAAGGGGGCCCCTCCATTGCAGGGGCCCCTCCTTTATCGGTGCCTGTCTGCGACCCTCGTCTTAATTATTTGCAGTCTATTGAAGTCGCCTTTGCACTTGGCAAAATACTCAAACCCCAAAATGTACAAAACCCAACAACCCCCGCTTCCTAACACAGGGGGGCCCCTACTAGTGTCTCCGAGGCCCCCAGGGGCTCGGGGCCCACAGGTGCTTCAGGGCAGCCAGGGGTTTCAGGGCCTCCAGGGGCCCTGCGTTTCTTTTTTAGGATGAATAAACTTCAGGGGCCTTCGCTCGGGTGTACGTACACCCAAGAAGTATGCGAAGGATTCAAACCCTATGCAGTCCTCGCAGGGCAGGGAGCCGCTGGCTAGCTGAGAGGATATTTAGTTGGGGGCTAGCTAGCTGAGGGGGTAGGTAGCTTGGCTGGCTAGCTAGATGGGGAGCTAGCTAGCCGGGGGCCTAGCTAGGTGGGGGTCTAGCTAGTTAGCCGACAGGCTGGCTAGCTGAGGAGGTGGCTGCGTGAGGGGCTAGCTAGCTGATAGTACAGCTAGCTGATAGTATAGCTAGCTGAGGGACTAGCTAGTTGAGGGTGTAGCTAGCTAAGGAGCAAGGAATGCCTCCTTCAACCCCCTCGCCATTTGCTGCTGTCACCCGAGACGCGCAGTCTTAGCTTCAAAAGCAACAACGCTTTAAAGCTCAATTACAAAACCTCTATGGAGAGGCCCCCCAAACTCTTTCGAAGGGCCCCACAGCCCCTCTTGAGGGGCCCCAGAACACCCCTTTCGGGGGCCCCCAGACGCCCCTCTTTTAAGGGGCCCCCGGGGGCCCCTCTTTTAAGGGGCCCAAAGGCCTCCCCTTTTGGGGCCACCCCCCTTTTTCCCTCTTTTTGGGGGCCCCCAATACCCTCCCGCTTTTCAGGGGCCCCCATACCCTCCCTCTTTTGATCGACTATTAACCCCCGTGCTTTATAGGGCCCCAATTACCCTTTTGTAAGGGGTCCCCGGCGCCCACTCTTGAGGGGCCCCCAATACCCTCTTTTGAGGGCCCCCTGACAGCCTTTGGTAAGGGGCCATCAATACCCTCCATTGAGGGGCCCCCAATACCCTTTGGGGCCCCTGACACCCTCTTGTAGGGGCCGCCCACTACCCCCTTTTGGGGGGCCCCCAGCACCCTCTTTTAAGGGGCCCCCAATACCCTCTTTTGAAGGGCCTCCAGCACCTTCTTTTAGCGTTCTTCCTCCGACTCCTCTGAGCTGCTCGGTATTTGCTGCAGCAAATTCCGCACACAACCACAAGACAGCACGTCAGTATATACTTAGCCAGCTCGCTAGCTAGCTAGCTAGCTAGCTGGCTGGGGGCAGAGAGAGGTGCACTTGGAGAGTGAATGCCGGTGGGGTAGGAGGAGACTGAAAGGAAGAGACAGGCCCCTAGAGACAGCTCCAGCCCATGCGCAGCAGTAGCAAGACAGAAGCAGCAACAGGAGAGCAGCAGCAGCAGCAAAAGCAGCAGCAGCAGGAGGAGCAGCAGGATCTGACCTTGAGTATATTATCGCAGACTTTGTGTTTAAGCATGAGTCTGGCGAGAGCAGTTGTCTTGAAGCTGTCTGTACACCCCAACTCAGCAAACCCCACAACCGAATGCACCGCCACTCCGTCTATAAAAAATACCAAAGTAGGCAAAGAGCGAATGCGCAGTTTGCTGGTGAAGAAAGGGGCCTTCTCCGCGTTCATCCTAAGACGCACAAACCCTAAACCCTAAACCCTAAACCCTAAATGGGAACCCCTACACCCCAAACCCTAAACCCTAAACCCTAAACCCCAAACTTCAAATTCTAAACCTTAAACGGTGAGCAAACGGTTCTTACGACAGCAGAAACGCACCGCGCAAGGCCACCACCTTTAGCCCAAGCACCAAACCCTAAACCCTAAACCCTAAACCCTAAACCCTCAAACGTACTTGAAGAAGCGCGTCTCAATGTGCACTTTTGCGAGAACTTCCAAATGCTTGTCCATTATACGGCAACGTTCAAAATGAGGGCTAAAAAAGTGACAAACCTGAACAGCAGCAACAGCAGCAGCAGCAGCAACAGCAAGGAAAGCAGAGTCAGATAAAGCAGCAGCACAGAAAGCAGCAACATAGAAAACAATAGCAGCACACAAAGCACCAGCAGCAGCAGAGAGAGCAGCAGGCCCCTCCATTATCTGGTTGCATGCATATTCGGGAGTCGGTGCTCTAGATGTGCCTCTTTAGGATTTAGGGTTTAGCGTTTATATATTTTTACATCTGTGTGGTCCACGGCTTTGAGATTAAGGGTTTAGGGTTTACGCCATTAGGATTTAGGGTTTACGTCTCTAGGGTCTGGGGTTTGCTTAGGGTTTAGGGTATATGCTTATACTCTCTAAGGTCTAGGGTTTGAGTATACTGTCTAGGGTGTGTTTCTAGGGTTTATGGTTTGGGGTGTATGCCTTTAGGGTTTATGGTTTGGGGTGTATGCCTTTAGGGTTTAGGGTTTAGGGTTTAGGGTTTACGGCCTTCGGTGCAGACGTGACGACCCCCAGGAATTCTGTCTCCTGCAGCTCGCTGTATTCCCCGTGTCCCTTCTCCCTCAATGCTGTTTGCTTCTGCCTTGCTGCCTGAATGAGGCACAGACAGCTGCTGCTGCTGCTGCTGTTGCTGCTGCTGCTGCTGTTGCTACTACTGGGGTTGCTGTTGCTGCTGCTACTGCTGTTGGTGCAGCTGCTGCTGCTTCGCACGCATCTGTTGCTTCTGCTTCTGTTGCTTATGCTGCATGTGCTGCTGCTGCTGCTGAAGCAAAAGGGATATTCGCTCGCTGCAGTGATGTGTCTGGAAGTCAAGGGTTTAGGGTTTAGGGTTTAGCTTACCTTCAGCTCCTGCATGCGTTTCTCGCGCCAGTGCGATAGGTCGTCGAGGCCTTCGCCGTCTCCCTCATCTGCAGCACACAGTTGGGGTGTACGTACACCTCAGAGGGTAAGCAGCAGCATTGCATGCTGCTGCTCCCGCTGCTGCTGCTTCTGCCGCTGCTGCTGCTGCATGCACCGTGCGGCATACCCTAACTGCTACAAAAAGAAATAAACACAAACCCCACCAGCGCCAGAGAAATCGCCGCCGCTGCCTCCCTGCTGCTGCTTGTGCTGCAGCTGCGCCGTCTTCTGCTGCTTCTGCGCTGCAGCAAACTTGTCTTGTATTGCCTTCTCCTGGAAAGCAGCAGCAGCAGCAACAGCAGCAGCAGCACGAAGCGTCACGAAAGCCAGTGTATCCTAGGTGAAGCCACGACAGCTCAAGCCCGCTCTAAACCCCGATAAACCCTAAACCCTAATAAACCCTAATAAACCCTAATAAACCCTAAACCCTAAACCCAGGGGTATATACCAGCACGATGTTCGTGGCGATTTGTGTGAGCTTCTGCGAGGTCGCCATTTCAGCAGAATTAGAGAAAAAGAGTAAAAATGAATGAAAAGCTTTTTCTATTTCTGAATCAGGTGTACATACACCTCAGGCCCACCGTCGTCGGCAGCAACCGCCTCACCGCAGCTGCAGGAAGATTAGGGTGTATTGAGGCGTTTAATTCGTCAAAGGGAAAGAAATATGTTTTACAATTTAATTAAATATATTTTTTAATTAGAAAAATAAAGAAAAAAACAAAAAGAATACAACAGAACAGACAGACCGCCTCAGCCGCCGGGCGCCAGCAGTAGCTGCCAAAGAAGTGTGAATTAGAAGGAATAATACAAAGAAACAAGCAATAATATGTTTATTCAAATTAAATTCTTTTATTTTCAACTAAATATACCACTTTTAAAGACATCTTAAAGCTGCAGTGTACACACAACTCAGACCAGCGGGAGGGGCTGTTGTGACCCTAATTAGGGTTTAGGGTTTAGGGTTTAGGGTTTAATCTGCTGGTGTAGCTGCTGCAAGATTCGTTCTCTCTAGGTTAAAATATAAACACCGCATTTCTGCTTATACACTCCAGGTGTATTATAATAAGATATCTGTTGGGGTGTATGCGTAGATGAGGTATATGCATGTATGTGTTTGCACACACAACTGAATGCTCAAGCGCCTTCGTAGCGCTGTAGTACGTACACCTCGCTGCAGGCTGCTTTAAATAGAGAAGAAGGCTGCAGCTGATAAGCTATGGGTTGGCTTCAAGAACAAATACAGATGAAAGCATGTAGCTGTATAGCGATATAGACATTTGCTAAGAACCAAGGGGGCCCCTATAAAGTTCCTATACCCATCTTCAGGGGCCCCCCAAATATATCGATGGGGCCCCCAACCAGAAGCCTATACCTGCACTAGCGGGGCCCCCTCAAAGTCAGTATACCCTTATTAAGGGGCCCCCCTAACCAGCTTCATCCTCATTAAGGGGCCCCCTGCAGAGGTCAATATCCATATTAAGGGGCCCCCTAAGAAGTTAATATGCATATGAAGGGGCCCCCAACAGAAATATATGCTCATAGAAAGGGGGGCCCCCAGGTGTATATACCCATAGTAATGGGGCCCCCCTTCGTCTCTTCGACTTAATTGTGAGGCCTTAAAGAAGAGCAGCACCTGAAAAGAAATGTTTGATGTTTTTCTGTCTTATAACAGAGTCGTCTGTCTCTGCGCTGCAGAGACATTTCAACTGTACGTACACCCCAAGCATAAGCAAGGAGACACTCAAACCCCACTTCGCATGCAGCACGCTGCAGCATCTATTGCAGCAACAGCAGCAGCAGCAACAGCAGTAGAAGCAGCAACAGCAACAGCAGTAACAGCAGCAGCAGGAACACAAGGACGCTCGTTGCAACCATAAAAAAAATTAAATAGGGCAATGTCTCTTCGTCTGGCTCTGAGATGCTGAGCCTCGTTGCTGCTGTCGCTGCAACGGCAGCAGCAACAGCAGCAGCAACAGCAGCAGCAGCTCCTGCTGCT